TCGCACTCCCAATGAGTTACACGAGTCCTTTAGACCTCGCAGACCGTTTAAGGGACTGAACCGGGACCAGATTCAAAGGCTACCGCCCGGTACTAGGGAGTTTGCATTACAGCATGAGAAAGAGATAGCCACAGTAGTCGAGAACCTCAGGAAGGCCCAACATAAGATGATAGAACAGGCTAATAAACACCGTCGCCCATCACAGTTTCAAGTAGGCGACTTAGTCTGGGTCAAGTCCACAGAGTTTGTCCTTGAGGAGAACATCTCGCAGACATAGTTGCCTGCGTATAGAGGATAGTGGCCAGTCTTAGAAGTCAAGGGCGGAAATGATGGGCTGTCCTACACCATAGAGATTCCAGCACACCTCCACACCTTTCCAGTTTTTCATGCGTCGAAGTTGTTGCCTTGCACTACGAGTCAGCAATTCCCATCAAGGAGGTCCATGATCCCTCTCGATATGGACGGAAGGTATGACATTGATCGCATGGTAGATGAAGATGTATTCAGAACAGGAGGTAGAGGTCGTCCACAAAGACAGTACAAAGTCAGATTTTCTTACCAGGAACCAGAAGACAACCACTGGTTTACCCGAACATAACTTCTAGAGACTGCTCACGATGTAATCCGTGCCTATGAAAGAGCGAAGAAGGGTAAAGATCCTGCTATAGATTGATATTTTCTCGGATGACCTCGAATTTAGGCCCGCGGGAGTGAAACGGTTTTCACTTTTACGGTAGCAGTTGCTGTCCCCAGGGCTCGATCCCTGGACCTCGCCCTTACCCGTGTACAGTATCAGTGCCCTGTGTGTGTTTGAACCCGTGACCTGTGTCTTGGAAGTCCCCTGTTTGCTTGTTATAGGGAGTCCGGTCATTGGGTTTCGATCCGTAGGTCTGTCAAGTAGGAGTCCTCACTGAGTAGGGGTCGTAGCTGCTACAGTTCTGAACGGTCAAAGATATAGCTGCTACAGTCCCGAGAGGTCAAGTCTACAAGCTTCCTGAAGGTCCGGAAGCGACCTTTCGTAGGGTCCCAAGAGTCAGCCTGGGGGCAAACGGGCAAGTGGGCAGTCCAACCTTGCCTAGTCAGCGGTACCCAGTCCCGGTCGCACTTTGTCAAGTCAGCAAGTACCATGTGGGACCTGTGTGCAACTCGGGCCCAGGGTCCAAGGGCAGACCATTGACAATCCGAAGCATAAATCAAGAGGCAGCATCAAGTCATCATGGATTCTGCCTGTGAGCCATGCGGAAGCGCTGCTCGAGCATCTTGTGCAAGGAGGTCTGCAGGTGCCCGAGGGAGAAGAGGGCTAAGAGGAAGAAGATCGGCCATAGCCGAGGTGTTAATGGTACGAGGAAGACGGCGGCCATAGCCGCCACGTCAGCATGTCAGTAGGTGTTAGGGTGTGAGAGAGTTGGTGTGTGTGTGTGTCGGGACATCCAGGGAGATCCAGTGTGTGTTTCGCTATACACTAAAAAAAAGCATGACTGTACCAGACTGTTTCGTCGGACTTTCACCGACTCAGATCCAGTGTGTGTGTGTACGAACAAGTTGCTGAGTGAGCCAGTGTCCGCGATAGCTGGCCAGGACGAGTCTGAATCTGAGTTGCGTTCTTGGCTTCATTATCCCTGAGCTTTGTGTGAGCGCTAGTCGCCAGTTTGATCATCATCTGTTTGTACTCATGCTGAGAGGTTGAGAAGACGAGTCTGGTTGCAGAGTGGTCATCAGACTGTTTTTTATCAGTATGCTTCTCATTGTTCTTTGTTTGTTTTTTCTTCTTCTTCTTCTTCTTCTTCCTCCCCCTCCTCCTCCTCCTCTCCCCCCTCCCCTAAGCGGACTGGGTGCTGCGACACATTGAACACACCCTTTTACCCCCTTGTCAACACAGTGGACTCCGCACTGCACTGTCGACACATTGTACACACAGTGGACTCCGCACTGCATCTGCCAAAAGCCCACATACAGCCCAGTTTGGTTGTATGAAGGTGGAATAGCCCAGACCTGTTGCATAGGACAAAAGTTAGACCACCATTGGATTCTTACTCTGAGCACTGCAAACAGAGGCTCCAACGTCCAACATGCACCAGAAGACTTCCCATACCATGTCAAGAAACATATTTCTGTATGTTCACATCAGTGGGAGTGGAAAGCTTTGTTCACAGTTTTTACTAACCCATGAAAATGAAGAATAGAGTAGTATACTTCCTAAAAAAGTGGCCGCTTCGGATTTTGCCTGGATCATGAGACTCACCGCATTTACTAAAGGATCAAGCCGATAAACTTGGAAATTCAAAAAGTAAAGCCCAGCAGCTGTCAGTTTGCCACACTTAGCCGAGTCTTCCTGTCATGTGAAAAAATACACATACGGTTGAGAACGATGCAATGCAATCAACTTTGGAAATCCATGCAACTTTGAATCCCGCCCTGCTCTCATGGTTGCTGAGAACAAAGTTAGATGACCACTTTTGTATGTGCAATTCAAGCCACAGAAGTAGATCCAAACATCCACCTGGAAAAACAATTCATCTTACAAGTTGAAATATCAGCAGAGGTTTAAGAACTACAGCTAGGTGTAAGCACTGTAGTAAGGTGCGACAAGTCTAGAGGACAGGGCAATATCTGCAGAGAGGTAGGTTTGACAACTACAGATAGTACAACCACCGTAGAAGGTGTGACAAGGCCAGAGGAGAGGGTGAAAGAGTTGGGTTCCTACGCAGCCACCACATCAGCTAATCAGCATGGAGTCAGAATGAAGTAACAACCAATGACAAAGCAATGAAAATTCTCGTGTCCCCCACAAATTCTACCATATTGAACAAAAACATCAGTCTCAAAACAAGGACACCGCAGTTCCACCACTATGGCAAAGCACAGGAATTTTGTTGTGCCCTCCATGCACAGGATTGGCAGCTGTCTCCTGAAGTCAGTGCAGTAACTTGAAGTAGATGTGAACAGGAATCAAATGAATCATCAACCATTTGACCTTCCCATCAAGAATCCCAGACAACAGGCAACAGTCCTTAATATTTGAGGACCCTCCTTTTCTTCTTCTCCCTCTTCATCCTCAACTTCCATTCCAACTTTTGCTCCTCCTCTCTTTCTCGCCGTTCCATGGGGCCCTCCATAGCCATCAGCTCCCTGGCTAACGCCTCTCTCTCATCCTGAGGCACATAAGACTCTGCCTCCTTATCTTCCCCCAATGATAAATTAGCGACCCACCCACTTATCTTTTTCTCCATCTCTGCGTCTTAATCTTTTTTCGTGCCACTACTCCCCTCTCTACTCTCAATTCGCATTTTCTCTTTTTCTTCTTCTTCTGCTGCTTCTTCTTCAGCAGCCTTTCTCCTCTCTTCCTCCTCCTGCTGAACTCTCTTCATCTCCTCCTCCAACTTCTTCATCTTTGCCGCCTGCTCCTCTGCGATTGCCTTTAGCTTCGCCTGCTTCTCGAGCTCCTTCCTCTCTTTGTTTTCTCTCACTAGGGCGGCCATCTTCTCTTGCTGCTCAGGGGTGTAGGGGCTAGTGCTCTTCCCACTACGCAAGTCCACAATGGTGACAGGTGCACAACCAGGAGGATTCCACTCCTAACCACTTAGACTCCAACCCCTGAATGACAGACCTACTGACTCAATCTAAGACTCGCAGAATCCGAACAGGTATCCTGCCAACTAGGGTCTCTAGCCTGGACCTAACTATGGCTGTCGCTACTAGACCTGTTGCTGATCAGGAGGCATTTAAGGAGATCCCCCGTAACTCCTCATGAATTACTTAACATCGCAGATAGGACGGCGCGATCAGCAGGTCTCTCAAGACTTAGACGACCTGTTGTGCAACCCAAAGCTCGGATTTTGGGCCTACCGTGCCACACCGAGCAACCCGCCGGTCAGTACCGATCCTTGGGAGGGTTAGGCCTCTGAGACAGTCGAGTCGTCAGACACAACTTTTAGCCCTACTCAACCCGTGTGAGTTTGGTCAACAAGGCCCTATCCTTCATCCACAAAGTACTATCACCTAGGACAGAAGAGACTCGATGCAGAGAGAAGAGACCGACAGACTCGACTCAGCAAGTACCAAGGGGTGTGTGCACATCCATAGGGCGAGGGATAGGTTGAGGGCTTGGTGAGATGTTACCGGCTCCAGCTTGGTCAACTCGTGGTCCACGGTCTTGGTCCACGCTGGTCAACGCTGCTGTCAACCCCCGGTCACCTCCCGGTCAACTCCGGTCAACGCCGGTCAACTCCCGGTCAACACCTCCGATCAACTATGGCTGCCGGTTTCTCTTCCTCGCCAACCTTCCTTCTTCCCTTCACCTTCCTCGCCTCCTGTCACCTTGCTGTCTTTTTTTTTTTTTTTTTTTTTTTTTTAATCGGCTCTCTTCACCTCTCGCCTGTGGCTTTCTCACCCTGCTCGGTCTCTCCCCCTCTGTCCTCTCTCACCCTCCTTCGTTACTCCGTGGTGACACTTCGTAACAGCCAAACTTGTCTCTCTCTCTCTCTCTCTCTCTCTCTCTCTCTCTCTCTCTCTCTCTCTCCGTAGCGCAATCTCCAGCTCAGCAGGTACGTAGTAACCCAATCTTGTATCGCTCAACCTCTCTCTCTCTCTCTCTCTCTCTCTCTCTCTCGGTCTTCTTCTTCGTCGTGGTCTTCTCTTGCAGGTGCGCGGCGGCTTCTCCAACCTCTCGGTCCGCTATGGCGGACTACTACTTCTGGCGGCCACCTCAACTATAACGCATCAGGCCCTGCACACGACGGCGCGCATGAATAGCGGGTACCAGCTCTGATACCAATGCAACCAAACTCGTTCTCATTCCACTTTTCATGCATGTAAACAGTAGTGCAACTAACTGGCGACATGCACCCACACAAAACTCAGAGATATGGCATCCAGATACGAGCTCACTTTCAACTGGCTACGGCGACTCAGCGCCCAAACAACTCACTATTCACATACACTGGATCACCCTGGATATCCCACACGCGTCACTCTGAACACTCTCACAACACCCACACACTACTCGCTAACTCTAGCTATGGCGGCAGTAGCCGCTACTACCCTATCGCTATGCTACGCCCTTCTCTCTCGCCCACTTCGTCCTCCGGGCTCATCTGCAGACCTCCTTGCACAAGTCGTTGTGGCAGCGCTTCCGCATGGCTCACGCAGGAATGAATGAATGGTTGGGCGCTGCCTCTTGATTTATACTTCTGCAACTCAGTGGTCTGCCCCTTTCCATCGGCCCATGGTGCTCACAGTCCCTCGTGGTACTTGCTGGACCGGACTGGGACTGACTGGACCTTACCGCTGACTGACTGTGGACTCACTGCTAACCTACCGTAGTCGTACTGCGATTGCACTGCAGTTTAGTCCACCACTTGACTCACCACTTGCCCACTTGCCCACTTGCTGACCTTCTAGAAGGACTATAGCTAGGCTTCTGGAACTCGCTAAGACTCCTACTCTATGGATCTACAAATCGAACCCCTGCTTCCTTCGGGACCCTACGACAGACTACTAACTTGTTACAAACACACAGGTCGCAGGTTCAACGCTCGGGGTCTACACAGGTACTGTACACAGGTAGGGCAAGGTCTAGGGATCGGACCCTGGGATATGCGTCTGCTACTGCAAAGAGGTGAAAACCGTTTCACTCCCGCCGTCCTAAATTCGAGGTCCTCCAATAATATTTCAGTCCAAGGCAGGACCTTTACCCTTCTTATCGCGCTCGTAGGCTCAGACTATGTTGGGAGTTGTTTCTAGTAGTTCTGTTCTAGTGAACCAGCGGCCGTCTTCCGGTTCTTGGTAAGCAAACCGGACCTTATATTGTTTTTGTGGACGACCTCTACCTCCTGTTCTAAACACATCCTCATCTACAATGCTGTCAATGTCATAACTTCCGTCCATATCCGGGGGGATCATGGATCTTCTTGAAGGGAACTGTTGACTTGTGACACACGGCAACAACTCTGAAGCATGGAAAACAGGGGAGGTGTGCTGGAATCTCGATAGTGGTGTACGACGGTCCATCCTCTCCGCCCTTGACTTCTAGAACCGGCCACGGTCCTCTATATGCAAGCAACAATTTTTGCGAGATGTGCTTCTCAGGTGCAAACTCTTTGGACTTGACCCAAACTAAGTCCCCTACTTGGAACTGCGATGGGCGACGGTGCTTATTGGCCTATTCTATCATTCTGTGTTGGGCCTTCCTGAGGTTCTCAACAACAGTTGCTAATTCCTTCTCGTGCTGTACTGCGGACTCCCTGGTACCGGGCGGTAGCCTGTGAATCTGATCCCGATTCAGTCCTTCAAATGGTTTGCGTGGTCTAAAGGACTTGTGTAGCTCATTGGGAGTAAGATAGGTGGACAGATGCACGTTGTTATTATACGCGCTAGCTACCTTGGGCAACATCTCATCCCAGTCGATCTGGTCTAATGTACATGCGCAGAACTTGCAGGAGGATCTTGTTTATCTGTTCAGTCTGACCGTTAGTCTTTGGATGGCGGCCAGACGACATCAACAGCTTAGATCCGTAGACTCTCATGAGTTTTTGCCAGTTCTGGCTGGTGAAACGACTATCTCTGTCGCTAACTATCGACAATGGGATTCCATTCTCACTAACCCAAAAATCAAAGAAGTTTCGTATAACTAAGTCTGTACGTGCCTCTGCAGGCAAAGGAATAAAACTGCATACTTGCTAAATCGGTCAACTATGACCATGACGTGGCTCTTACCATGTCTGCTCTTGACTTGGGTGTCCATGAAGTCTATGGACACTGAGTCCCCCGGCTGATCAGGAATAGGCAGGGGTCTGAGAAGACCTAGAGGGGCACGCGTAGTAGTCTTGTTCCTCTGGCAAACTTTGCAACTACGGACATACTCTATGCAGTCATTCTTCATTCCTGGTCAGGTATACGCATGCATTAGATTGGCTAGAGTCTTTTGCCAACCGAAATGTCCCTCTGTATCATGGCATTCCCCTAGGATCAGACTGCGGATCTCTTCGTTGTTGGGAACGCACAGGCGGTCAAATACATTAGTCTTCTCAAACAATAATCCCTTTGTAGTGCGGTAATCTGGCTCGGTCTCTGGGGCCTCTCTAACTTTTTTTAGGAGGTCCCTATAGATAGGGTCCTGCGCATACGCTTGTTTCACTTTCTCCTACAGGTCTCTCCCTATATCCAGATAGTGTACTATGGCTCCAAAGTAGTCTGATCTTCTACTCAGAGCATCCGCAACTACGTTGTACTTGCCCTTCATTGGCTTGAGCTCAAAGTCATATTGGTCTATTTCAGCGGCCCACCTAGTTAGCTTAGGTGTCATCTTGGCCTGAGTTTTTAACCATCGAAGCG